CTCATTGATTTATTCAGGTCTTAGCCTAACAAAGTTTTTTAATCACTGTTATCAATTCTTTCGAAGCCAATTCCCCGGGGGGAGCTCTCTCGGGAATGCCTTGTTACTATCGGAGCATCTCGGACGCGAATAAATCAAGATTTGTCGACCGTTACGAAACTAATCAACAGCCCGCTATCAAATTCAGAGTCTTCAAAAATAAATATACTAGTTACAAAAAAATACGCTACCGTACCATTGGACGTAAGATTAAATTAAATACTTAAGGCTTTGTTTTTTCTATTCTCCGAACGCACAGACATCCCGAAAATCAAAAACTTAATGCCGCTACTATTGATATTTAAAATAGACGTATCAATAATAATGAAATGAATTAAGATAGATTCGCAGCAAAAAAAGTTATGATAACAGTAAAAATCCGTGTGGGCTTACAATACGCCCTACCACCATTAAATAAGGGTTAGACGGCTGAAATAATCTGCGAAAGAGCTGAACGATACGAAATTAAGGATATTACTACTACAGATGAGTTAAGGGAAATTATCTTCAAAGTCAACCAGGTCGAGTGCCCGCAGAACCCGATTAATAGCTAGCCAAATCTTACCTCAAAGAAATTATTAAGAAACATTATAAATTCACTTGATTAAAATTTAAAAAGTTCGGTTTAGTCGGTCTTGGAAAATGGAGCAAACAGGTGACAGTATGGTACACAAGGGACGGTGCGAGGAGCCGAGGTCGCAAACCAAGTTCTGAAGTCGTCGTGGCCTAAAGGATAAGACGTCCGGTGCAGTGATAGCGATGCACCGGTGTTCGAATACCACCGGCGGGTACCAATTTTTCTAATGAAATATGTACTTAATAAATGTTCACGATCGGCTTCCACGGTGAAGGAATAACATCGTGTAATAAAAATCAAACCTGCAAAATTATAATTTGCGTAATTATTGGTGGTAGGACTTCATGTGAGTCCGCACGGGTAAGTACCACCACCCCGCTTATTTCTGCCGTGAAGTAGTAATGCGTTTCGGCTTGAAGGGTGGGGCAGCCGTTGTAACTATACTGAGACCTTAGAACTTATATCTCAAGGTGGGTGGCGCATTTGCGTTGTAAATGTCTATGGGCTACACATTAAAGTATTAAGAATAAGAATTTATTGCTTTAAATTGGTGCACCGACTCACAGGCCATTGTACATAGCGGCTAACAGAGCTTACATATGGGTGTGCATCAAAACAAGAATTTCACCGTTCATATTGAGACGTGGGAGTCGAACAGAACGCCTTGGTATAGAAATAGGCAGAATGGTGGTGCCTATGCGTGCGGGATCAACCCACCATCCGTAAAAAGAACAATATAACAATAACACAATGCATTACAAGAGTTTCAACTACTGAAAATATTACAATTAACTAAACAAAATATTATCAAATACGTCACTCAAATATAGGCTATTTGAGAGATTCTATGTATCGATTTTCGCAATGGAGTATCATTCAAAACTCGTCAGAACAGCATTCAAGTGTATTTTTCCATGTGATATTGTTTATAACAGAAATCAAAAAGTTTTTAGTAATTTTTACGCTCTATATCTATATATTAATACGTGAAGCAAAAACTTTGTATCCCTTTTTACGAGATTTGCGCGGACGGAGGAATATGAAATTTTCCACACTTATAGAGAGTATAGAGAAGAAGTGCACAATGCTAATATTTTTTTTAAATAATGCATTAAAAATACACTAAATCAATAAAGAAAACATTACACACACTACATACCATGTATTTGACGCACACACGCATGCATACCATAGATTATACACTTAATATATGCATACTATTTACTGTCAAACTTTTGTTCTTGGCGTTTGTTGTCAAATTGAGATTAAATATTGTTTGTCTTTTTAATTTTTTTTTATGGTGTAGTCTTGGCGAAATTTGTGATTATAGAAGTATAAAATACAATCATAATAGTGTACAAACTTAATTTCGACTACTGCGGGACCTCTAGTAATAGTAATTTTCTAATTAAAATTAATACATACATGTAAAAATAGTTAATAAATTTACTACTATCATAATTTTCTTATCCACCGATTTGGAATGCAGTTTCATCGTGCAAAAAGCCAGTATGAAATAAACGACAAAGAAAGGGTACATCTAAAACTCATTATTATTAAAAAAAAAAAAATTCGACGAATACAATTATATAAAGCCACATACGAACCAAAGTACATTAGAACGCGTTTTACAAAAAGTACATTTACCGCAAACCTCCGCCCGGCGAAAAACACGAATGCTCGACAAAGCTTATTTTAGGGGTTCCCTAACCACTAAAAGTACCTATACTGAATAGGCCCACATTACGCACGTTGATTTACCCGTTCCTATTATACCTTTAGGAAATTGTTTTTTCGAACACAATCGGCCCGGCCTCGATAACAGAAATGCTCACCGAAGACAGATGAAAATATATTTTATTTACATTTATGACGTGATAATAAGATTACGGGATGTTGATTCGTCACTTTCATTGTGGTATTTGTTTGAATCATCGAGCCGTACATCTAGATTTCTAGACTAAACTTCGTGACGAAAAAAAAAACATATTATGTATATGTTCTCGGAAGTCGACCGCTTTAAACGCCATTTTCATAACTCAAAAAAAAAATTTTTTTTTTATTGCTTAGATATGTGGACGAGCTCACAGCCCACCTGGTGTTAAGTGGTTACTGGAGCCCATAGACATCTACAACGTAAATGCGCCACCCACCTTGAGATATAAGTTGTAAGGTATAAGTATAGTTACAGCGGCTGCTCTACCCTTCAAACCAAAACGCATTACTACTTCACGGCAGAAATAGGTAGGGTGGTGGTACCTACCCGCGCGGACTCACAAGAGGTTCCTACCACCAGTAATAAAAATACACAATTAAAAATGACTTTAAATATACAATTTCCTAAAGCATTCCTAACTATCGTAAATTCGATCTATAGTCTAATAATATAAGATCGAATATACTAAATTATATAATATTTCATTTTGATCAGCGAATATTTTTTTTCTAAAAACTTCAGAGACAAACTTTTCATTTGTGAATCGCTACTGTACAAAGTTAATGAAAAAAGTTTTGATAAACGTAAAAGTAATAATCATGGTAAGATTGAGACCGATCTCCAAAACTCAATTAAAGATAATAAACAACTTATTATACACTTCAATTATTTGTAGATGAGACCGATAAAATGAGAATTGCTAAGACAGTAATTTTTTTGATATTTGAAAAAGAAATTGCTATGTTCTTCGGGGTAATGTGTGCTGAGCGTCATTAGTTAAAATTGCGACGAAATTTTGTACTTTGATTGAAGGCGTCGATATCGTTTTTTATTTAATCAATCCTACAGATCGGTAGTCACATAGTTCAGCCTTGTGTGGTTTTTGAGTGGACATAAGAATGTGCAAATCTGTAAATAAATATTTAAAAAAATAGAGTTTTCTAAGTAACTCTTAACTAACTTCTTACTTTTGCTGGAGAAAAAAATACCAACTTATGCTCACATATTTATAATTCTAGTAGCTCTTAGAGGTCAAGGACCCGCTTGACAATTTGGTTCACCAAAGAAATGACCCAAAAACATTTTTGGGAAGTAGGAACGTGGATTGATTTATAAACCACTAGCTGTACCCGTCCGCTTCGCTGGGCAATTAAAACTAACATTATTATTTCTCACCCCCACAAAGATTCTCATCATTAACGCCCCTGCAACTGGTGTAGGGAGTCCAACACTCATATAAATATTAGCCTATCCATTAAGTACATGTATTTTCTACATGGATACCAAGTTTCAAGTCAATCGGATGCATGGTTCGGTAGTTATAACGGAACATCCGTAAAAACCACTGCACGTTTATATATTAGTATAGATTATAAATACTATAATTCTAAAATGGTTCGATATAATATTTTAATAAACTTCATCACAAAATGATCGAATATCAGAAAGCGGTTCAATCGCTAGTAACATATAGGAAGCGTAGACTTATGTTACGAACAGGTAACTACTATTCGACAAATATCTTTCTGAGTGTACGAAATTCGAATTTCATAAAATATAATTAATCCATTAATAACTTCTTCTATATCGTTGCCTCACTACTGAGGATCGCGACCACGTGCGACGTACTTCCAATGTGTTCGATCATGGGTGGTATGGACCGCATGGTACAGACTACCACCAAGTGCTTCTCTTGCTAGATCTGACCATCTGGCTGGTGTTCTGCCCACGTCGCGCTTGTCCTCTATGCGACCCGTAATTATGAGCTTCTCTAATTCATGTCTGGGAGACCGCATGATGTGTCCGAAGAAGCTCATAACACGTTCCCGGCAGATGGAAGAGAGCCTTTTTCGGATGTTTAGCTCCCTTAGAATGGACTCGTTTGTTCTCATGGCAATTTTTTTTTATTGCTTAGATGGTTGGACGAGCTCACAGCCCACCTGATGTTAAGTGGTCACTGGAGCCCATGGACATCTACAACGTAAATGCGCCACCCACCTTGAGATATAAGTTCTAAGATCTCAGTATAGTTACAACGGCTGCCCCGCCCTTCAAACCGAAACGCATTACTGCTTCACGACAGAAATAGGCAGGGCGGTGGTACCTACCCGTGCGGATTCATAAGTGGTCTTACCACCAATATACAATTATAACAATTAATGAATTTGTAATTCGTAATGAGTACTCCATTGAACGGGTTGGTGGTGCAAGGGAAAGTCGAGGGCAAAAGATCTCTCGGACGATCTCCAACACGATGGACCGACCTCATAAAATCGGTGACTCACTCCAACATAAATGATTGCTCTCACTCTGCGAAACATAGTGCCACATGGCGTCGCATCGCGAGAGCATCAGTATCGCAGGATCCGACTGATGCATGACCACGACCACTCTGTCAAGAGTGTACGAATAGGAAGAGAATTAATTTGAATCTTTTTGCGTATACAGAAGCGCGCCCGCCGTTTCAAAAACCATATTCTGTGCGACCTGCACTTCGCGGACGTAGCGCTGATGGAGTGCAGCGATTTCATGCAGCAACTACGCAGCTTCAAACCACAATCGCTGGGCTGCGCCGTCGCTAGGCGCAAGTCTTCAACTACCCTCATATTCCCGTTGCCACCTCAGGCCTGTTCAGGTACGTAACTTTCTATAATTGTATTTTGTACTAGCGGCCCGCTCCGGCTGCGCTCGGGTCTTTAACAAAAATTTCAAAATAAAAAATGATAATACACACACGTTAGCCCTTATATTTGCGTCAGATTTCTAAAAATAGAAAATTATGAAGGTAGTTTGAATAATTATTATTATTTTAATGAACTTTTTTTTTCATTTAAATAATATTTGTTTTTATCTATTTTTTTAGTATTTTTATATTATTATTTGTCTAATTTTCGTAACATTATTGGAGTTTAGTAAGGATCCCTGATTTAAAAAAAAAAAGAATATAGCCTATGTCACTCGGGGATAGTGTAGCTTCCAAACAGTGAAAGAATTTTTCAAATCGGTTCAATAGTTTCGGAGCCTATTCAATCATCATCATCATCATTATCCTGCCCTTCTCTCAGTCACCTGGGGTCGGCGCTACATGTTTTCTCCTTCCATACTCTAGGAGTGATCTAGGACTACTAGGAAGTGATCACATTACAAGTTGGAACCTTTAACATTAACTTTTTAAATCAGGACTTCGAATCTATGTCTCGATTCTGTCATAGTTTATGTTTCTAAGTATGGTCCCTGTGACTACTTCAACTCGGCTGGGCGTTTATCGGAATTGGGAATTGTAAATTATAATAATATATAGACGAATTAAACGTAGAAAATTTCAAACAGGAACGTCTGAAATCAACAGTTTTATTCCCGCAAAATTAACCGTTAGTCATGAACTCAACTGAATTAGAAGTTAAGAAATGAAAATAATAATATCTTTGAATTGCAATTAAAATTGGAATATCGAATATCGACGAAATATATCTTCTAGTGAATCTACTTTTCGGCTTATAAATAATTATTAGGAGTACAAATAAGTTTCCGCCGTTTTTTGTCGAAAAATAATATTTATTATGAAAGAACGGTAATTTAAATTTAATCGAAGTATTTTACATCACTAGCAGCTACTTTTTCCCATCTCTCAGGCAGAGTTCGGATTCCACGTCTGAAGAACTCCTCGTCTTTTGACGCTATCCACGAATCAACCCAATTTTCGGTATCTTCATATGATTTAAGCCGCTGCTCCGACAGAGCATGTGCCATTGACCGGAACAGATGATAGTCAGACGGGGCAATGCCTGGTGAATACGGCGGGTGAGGTAGTACTTCCCAATGAAGAGTTTTTAAATAATTTATACCGGTACCGCTACATGCGGACGAGCATTATCATGGAGCAGAATAATTTTGTCATGTCTGGAGTAGTATTGAGGGCGTTTTACCTTCAGAGCTCGACTCAATCTCATCAATTGCGTTCGGTAGAGAGCTCCAGTGTTTGTTTCGCCTGGATTAAGCAACTCGTAATACACCACATCCAGCTGATCCCACCAAATAGACAGCATGAGTTTTTTCCATGAATATTCGGTTTTGCTGTGGATGTTGACGCGTGGCCAGGTAGTCCCCATAATTTTCTTCTTTTTGGATTATCATAAAGTATCCACTTTTCATCATCAGTGACGATTCGATTTAAAAACCTTTTTTTTTTGGTGCCTAGCTAGCAGCATTTCACTCATACATAAGCTGCGTTCAATATCTCTCGGCTTTAATTCGTATGGAACCCAATTACCTTGTTTATGAATAATTCTTAACGATTTTAAACGATGTGAGACTGCTTGCTGAGTGACTTCTAAAGTAAGTGCAAGTTCTTTTTGTGTTTGAGACGAATATTCCTCCAATAGTTCCGTCAATTCTGCATCCTCATAAATTTTTGGCCTTCCACTGCGATCTTTGTCTTCTACGTCAAAATCACCGTTTTTAAACTTTTTAAACCACTCACGACACGTTCTCTCTCTCAAGGCAGCCTCATTATATGCTTTTACGAGCAATTGATGCGCCTCGGCTGCAGATTTTTTAAATTAAAAAAGTAAATTAAATTTCCCGCAAATGACGCTAATTTGGTTCAAATTTTAACATTTTTGGATAAAAAAAAAAATGACGCTAATACGGAGTTAATAATATGATAGGGCTAAGTTGTTCTTAAATGATCAACTTAATTTTCAAGCCGATTATCATCTGTGAATTCGAACGTAAGCCTCGTGCCACACCATCTTTCTCAAAACGGCGGAAACTTATTTGTACCCCTTTATATATATATATTTTTTTTTTTTTTTTTATTGCTTAGATGGGTGGACGAGCTCACAGCCCACCTGATGTTAAGTGGTTACTGGATCCCATAGACATCCACAACGTAAATGCGCCACCCACCTTGAGATACAAGTTCTAAGGTCTCAAGTATAGTAACGTTTTAAATACGTAAATGCTATTTCAGTGACCCAATTTAAAATTGAGTACGACTGATTACCAAAACCTGTACATACTCGTAAGAGACATCAACTTTCGTTTAAGACAAAGCTATTGCTATAAGAATTGTAACAAGCCTTTGATTTAATTCGTAATAATTTTTCATTTATATGCAGGCCTCGAATCTATTATGGGTCAAGACGCATACCTCCGGAATATATTACCTCCTTAATCTCTGACTCAGTGGTGCAGTAGTTAGCGGTCCTGACTGATGGTCGCTGAGGATCGTGGGTTCGATTCCCGCATCGGGCAAACATTGTGCGAAGAACAGTTTTATTTGCTATTTGTCTGGGTGCTTATTATCTATTTATGTAGATATTTAATCATATAGGTATCAGTCTCTGATACCCATAATACAGGGAATCCTAAGTTTTATTTGCTATTTGTCTGGGTGCTTATTATCTATTTATGTAGATATTTAATCATATAGGTATCAGTCTCTGGTACCCATAATACAGGGCCGGATAACCGTGCGTCATTTGTTCCTAGTTATCTATTATTATTATTATTCTGGACACATCAACATCGATCTCTCTATAATTCGTATCACCTAAGCCCCTACATGCGATGCAAAGCCTCAAACTACCTGATTTAAGTCCAAAGACGAGGACTCATGAAGCCAATAATTATATCTTTGGCAACACTTTGTATTAACAGGTCCCCTTTACAATTTTCTGAATAATTAACAAAATTAAACGCAGCAACCATTCGCCACTCCTTTCAACTGTTCCTAAACTCACGGAGCAAAGCAATTACGTTCAGTTTTACTTAAATTTTTACTTTAGTTTTACTTTACCAAATTTGCTCCGTCATATCGCCACTTAAATTTAAAATATTTGATTACACGGTAAAGAAGATGTTAATGTTATTTTCCTTCATTTAAAGTATTTTGATTTTCATGCTATTTTTATTGACGTCCTAATTCTCCATGATGGTCATTCATTGTCCGTAATACCTGCCTTGCAAAACAATTTTACTACGTGTATAATCCGTGTAAACTATTAAAAGCTCCGATTTCCCTTATTCAGTGCAGAGAGGGTTGTGGGCAGCCCTCGTCAGTGCGACAGGACGGGTCGGGTGACCGCCGCCTAGTCAATAACTGTCGGCATGAAATGGAGAATGCATGTTACCTGACTACGCTTTTACAGGAAAGCCCCCTGTTATGTTCCATCATAACATTATACAAACTGTTACTTAGTCGTGATAAGCGTGAACCGATTCTACAAGTTTATTGTGATGAGATTACATGACTATAGTTTCCCGACTGCCTTCGTATCTTATCATACCCAGTTCAATAATAATGACACTTTTCGAAATTTCAAATGTTTTTCGTTTGGTGTGGTATTTTTTTAGGCACGAATTCATACATTTTGTTTGATTATGTGATAATAAATCTCGGACTAAATCATTTAAATCATTTAAGTTCAAGAGCTAACGAAAAGTAGAGTTTTATGCAAATCAGTACATTTTCAAAGGCTTTCTCAATGGAACGCTTTTTCTCAAGTCACTGCCGCCGCGAAAATGCCATTTCCTTTGTAATATGAACAGGGCAATGGAAATATCTGGTGGAAGTATTAAACATTTTCTCGGTATATTTTAAGAGTGTGTTTTTAGTGTATGATGAAAATAGTTCAACTTTTTGGAACGAAGTTCCTTATGGGACGATGCGGAGGGGTACCCTAACCGGGAAAAAACGTCCGTAACGTAAGATTTTTATAGTTATGCACACAGTGTACGACTTAACTTTGTAATAACATACAACAAATAACATTTTTTTATCATTCATTGACCACGATCTCAGAACGTTTGTTTGCGCAATACACTAACTCTTATGCAAACAACCGTGAATGAAGTGTACCACAATAAGTTCGCACGTTACCGAATGACCGTCGGTTGTTTCGAAACCTCCAGTTTTATTTTCTTTATACCTCGAATAGAACTTAAAATTAATATTTTTATAATAAGAAACTTCGTTCCTATCCGGTGTACCACGACGCCACACACCTTTTTTTTTATTGCTGTAGATGATAAGACGAGCTCACCTGGTATGATATGGTTACCGGAGCTCATCTAGATGAACAACAAAGCGAATGCCCTCATCAACCCTCACGCATGGGATCGAGGTCTCGTTAATATCGCATGCCCGCTGTCCGGCACCTCAAACGCATGAATATTTCTTGGCAGCTGTAGGCAGGATGGTAGTACTTGCCCGTGTAGACAAACACATGTAAATACTGATTTGTGATGGAAGTTTATCACTGGTATAGCATTCAAAGAACGCTACAGATCGTTCTCTGGTAAATTCCTTAGTTGCATGCTCCGACAGACACAGAAAGAGATATGAGATTATGTTTTTCCTACCTATGCTGATAGCCTTGAGAGGCTATATCAGCTTTGCCCTTACATGTAGGTGAGTTCGCGGGGCTCAAACCTATGTGGTGCTAACACTGGCCCTTTCAAGAGCAATGCTTCGCAGAATTTACCACCGGATCGGAAACGCGACCCACTGAGAAGATCCGGTGAGAAACTCAGTGGGCTGTGTCTGTGGGTTAAAGACGGGATGGTGATATAATAGAAGACCGTAAATTGACACTGTACAGATGGAAACTATGGAATTTATATTATGTATAT